TACTTAATGTGCTGGCTTTGTGGGAGCCTAGCCAGTTTGGATGTTCACCTTCCTAGATATGGACGGAGAGGACCTAGGACTTAACACAGGGCAGGGAACCTGGACTGCTCTGCGGACTGGAGAGGGAGGGGGAGAGGAGTGGGGGGAGGGGGAGAAGGGTGGGAGGAGGGGGAGAAGGGTGGGAGGAGGGAGAGAAGGGTGGGAGGAGGGGAAGGGAAATGGGAGGCTGGGAGGAGGTGGAAACTTGTTTTTTGTTTATGTTTTGTTTTCTTCTTTTCGCAATAAAAAAAAAGAGAAAAAAAAAACTTGTTAAAAAGTTGTGATGGGTTAATGGATTGGGAATCTCTCCAGGAAGGCAATATGCATGCCATTTATATGTACAATGATGATACATTATCTTTAACAGAAAAATTTCATACTTTTGAATCATAAGTGCAGAATAAAGACCAGAAGGTAAATGTATGAATGAGGGCACTAGAACCTTACACAGGACTGGTGATTCAGACTTTACAAAATGCAGTGGTAAAAAGATTTGAAACAATTGAGGAAATTATCAGGATTGAAGAGAAGGGCTAGAAGATAAAAATAGGACTTTGCCTCATCAATACATGTCAGAGTCCAGGATAAATCATCTGGTACTAAATACCCTAGAGTATTCAAAGAATATAAGTAGCAACACATAGGCATGAGCAATCTAAAGGAAATTAACTAAGAAATAGTATCTTATGGCTTGTAGCCATCATTTGTTAAGGAAATGGTGAAAATGTGGGCTTCAAGCCATCAGGCATCTCCACATGATTGGCTTCAATTAGTTTCAGTGGTCCTCAAAGACAGACTGTAGCTGCTATGGAAGTGTCACTGGAAAGAAGGGGCAAAACTTAGAACAAAAGGGAAAAGCAAAAGGATATGAGGCTTCCCAAGATTCAAACTCTTGGTGAGGGCTATAACTCAAACCCACAGGACTGGGCTCTGTATGATAAACACTCCTTGTACAAATGCCACACAGCAGTTTTAAATGCTTGGGATAGGATTCAGGAACTATAAAAAAAATGAATCATATACCATTAAACAGAGACAGACAAAACCCTTTAGTGACTTTTTACAAAGATCAATTCAGACTGTAGAAATAGGAGTAACAGACCCAGAAGCTAGATTAGTACTTATTCTATCTCTGGCTTTTGAAAAATATCAACTTAGAATGCAAAAGGATACTTGGAGCTTTAAAGGTCAGATCTGCACCAATGGATGAATATATTTTGCATACAATGAATGCTGAGAATGAAATCTGGCAGATGGATGTGTTTCACTTCACAGAAATTGGAAAATTAAATATGTGCATCACCCCATTGACACTTATTCATGTTTTCAAAGGGCAACTGCCTTAACTTGGAAAAGACTGATACATTAATCACACATTTATTAGAGGTTATGGTCCACGTAGACATATCTGCACAAATAAAGACTGATAATAATCTAGCATATATCTCTAAGAAAATGAAACATTTTCTTGCTTATTATAATATAAAACATATTACCAGTAGCTCACATCAAACTCTAAAGGAGAAGTTAAATAAACAGAAAGGAATGGAAAATATCCCCAGAAATAGATTGCATAAAGCTTTATTAACCTTGAACTTTCTTAATGCTAATGAAAAAGGAACAATGGCAGTAGAGGTACACTGGATAGAAGAAAAAAATTCTGAATTTTGTATGTCAAGGATATGTTGAACTCAGAATGGAAACCAGGAGATGTGCTATTTTGGGGAGGGGGTTTCACTCTTGTTTGCACATGATGTGAAAAAATATGGATACCATCAAAATTAATAAAGATTTTATTTGAAAAGGAAAAACCTCTCGAGAAGGAGAAATGACATCTCATTTTTAGAGATGACAATCATACAACTCTTAAGAAAACATCATAAAGCTTGGAGTTATTTCTTACCTTTGTGGGAAAATATTCATCTTCAAAGAGTCAAGAGACCCTGGACAGCTAATGCCTAAAGAGGAAAAAATAAGTATCCAGAAAGGATCACCAAGCAAAGAGAATTATAACTCATAAAGACAGGTCATCAGCATGGTCAGATTTCATTCTCTGTATATATATTCTCCTGGGTAGTGTATATATATAGACTCTTGTTTATTCCTTAATATTGTTTATGTTGATTGTAATTCTAATTTTTATACTTCATATCTTTTCTTTTTTTTAGATATAGGGTTTCTCTCTAGCTTTGGTGCCTGTCTTGGAACTAGATAGACCTGCCTCTGCATCCCAAGTGCTGGGATTAAAGGCGTGTACCACTACTGCCTGGCTTTATCTGTTCTTTTTGCACATAGCTTTGCATTGGTTTTGGAACTCTTTTATTTAGTCAAAAGAGTGGGTGATAAGCAACCTTCTTCAGGAAATGGCCTTTGTGAGGCTCGACCATGTTTGGCATGGCCTTGGGAACCTAAAAGATATAGTTACCCCCCTCATTCTCTTGCTATTCCTATTCACCACAGCTGGATGTTAAATTCAGTTCTTGTTCAATATTTTGATCTGTGAGATTCCCTTTAATTAAAGGCATAATCCCCTTATTATGCAGTACTTGGAGCTAGTGTGGCATTATTCATATTGTGAATCTCCCTTCATCTGGCAGGTTCTGCTTCAAAGTTACATTAGTCAGATTTTTCAAAGAAAATTTATTGAGATATTGTGAGCATACAATAATCTCTGCAAGCAAGCAGGCCTTGAAAATTTTCCAGGTAAGTAAACACCCATGAAACCACTACACTGTAAGATAATAAAGTATTTATTGCTTCTCTGAAGTTTATATCAACATCCCCCATATGATTATATTAACCATTTTGAGGAATAGATACTCACAATATTTATGCTTTCTGGGTGAGTTTCCCTAAAGATGAGAGTCCCTAAAGTTATGTCTTTACTGTACAGGGACTTCTCAGTTGCACAGCCTGGCTAGAAAATCCAAGGAGTAAATTTATTCCCCTTCTTGACCTCTGATCTCTTCTCAAAATGCAGCTATCACCCCTTCTATTACCCTGGACATGTTCTACTGATTCACCCACACTCAAATTGCATAGTGCCTTGGTTTCCACCTGACAGATGACCCATATATGCCTAAGAGAACCCCTGTATTTACCTTGCGAATCCTTACAATCCCTGGGCACCTCCACAAACACCATCAACCACCTCAGGTCTGTAGCTCCTCTCCTAGACCCCATATGTCAGCATCTTAGCTGGTGCCATGCTGGATTGATTATCAACGTACTTCAGTGTGGTTCGAAACAAAATGTGGATAAACCTTCATCACCATTTCTATTTCTAAAGTTTGCCTTGACTGCCCATTTCTTTCATATTTAGTAATATCTTCCTTAAGCATTTTCTTTGTGGATTTGTTTTTAAAACAATTCATCTATTCAATGGGTACTAGTCTTTCTTCATTTTGAGGAATTGCATACCTAAAATATATACAATTAAATATAATCACATTTGCACCCTATTTCCCTTTCAGCTACCCCTAATCATCCCCAAAATAAGTGTTGCACAACTTATTGACCTCTGTAAGCCGAGTTGATGCTGTCCATGTGTGCATGCATTTGTAGCCTGGCACTGTAGTATAAGAAACCTACTAATAATCACATTCTCAAAAAGAAAGTGCCTCAGTTTTCAGGAAAGATTTATATCCAACAGATCATCAGTGAGAGGGAAGGCCTGGAAATAATCTACACAATGGTTTTGACTGGCTTGGTCTCAGCTATGCTTTCAGAGAGAACAACTGCCATTATAAGTTCGTGATGTGAGAGCCATGTCAAATCCAGAATTCAGCAATTAACAGTGCTCTTCTTTATGCTCAGCCTCTTACTTCTTTCCACTCCCTCTCCTCAATGTTCTCTGAGACTTGGAAGAATGTAACTGGAACTGGAAATTGTTATATCAGAAAATATAACAAATATTGAGCAGGACAAAGACTACCCGTTTCTTTCATATCCAGAACCTAGATTTGTTGTGTTAGGTGTTCTGGCATCTGCTTTATGGAACATGTAAGTAGAAGGGGAACCCTAGGAAAGGAAGACATCTTAAGTGAGAGACAAGGAGAATGGAGCAAAGGGTAATGTTGGTGCTGTTAAAGAAAAAACTGACAGTGATGATGGAAACTTGATGAATAAGATGGAAACCAGACAAATGGTTAAATAACAACAGGTTCATCCTAAAACTTAATCAAAATCTCAATTTGATAATTATATTATTAGGTAAATGAAAACTATTAACACAAAATAAAGACAGTCATGAGTTTTCTGGGGTAATTATGACAGAAGATGACAGTGGAGTGGAGATTTTAAAGCAATCAAAGAGAGAACTTCAGAATGGAAAAAAGTACATTTGATGCTAATGGATATAGGTCTGCTTAGCAAGTGCAAAGCAGCGGAGAGAAAGAGTGACAAGGGATATCTCACTTAAATTCTCCTATAGCTTGAGGACAGTCTTAAAAATAAGTAAAATTCAGAAAATCCCCAAGTGTTCTTGCAACAGAGAGTGAGTTATGCTAACAGCATCTGAATGTTGTGACCTTGTCAAAGAGCCACATCAGGGAGAGTCCATTTCCAGGCCAGAAAGTAGGAAAATCTGAGCTCCTATGTAGAAACACACCTGTGTTTGGCACATTTAATTTTATATGTGTACTAAGGAGACCTGATAGTTTATATCCACATGTTCTGTGCACATGCATGTAAAGGAAGTAACTGAAGTGTTGTGAATATTTCACAAGGAAAATTTGAATCCAAAACTACAATTTTATGTCAATTTCTATAACTATCATCGTAGATTTTGATGCCTTATATCTGTTATGAGCACTGCCTTCCCTCAAGGCTCCAACACCAGAGCAACTAGAGCAGGAAGACATGCAAATGAGGGTTCTCTGTTCCAATGAAAACCAGCACTGCCCTGACCCTGCAGCTCAGACAGAGGAACCCAGAGCTGAATTTCCTGATCCCCCCATTCAGTTATCACTACTGATCAGAGACCATTTACCATGAACTTGGGGCTCAGTTGGCTTTTCCTTGTCACTGTATTAAAAGGTAATTTATGAAGACAATATTCTGTATGCATTTGTGTACATGAGGAAGAAGAAAATTGGATTCTGTGACAGTTTTCTAATCAGGAATCTCTGTTTGCAGGTGTGCAGTGTGAGGTTCTGCTTGTGGAGTCAGGAGGAGGTTTGGTGCAACCTGGAAAGTCACTGAAACTCTCCTGTTTGGCCTCGGGATTCACCTTCAGTAACCACTGGATGAGCTGGGTCCGCCAGGCTCCAGGGAAGTCCCTGGAGTGGGTTGCATCTATTTATAATAGTAATAACATCTACTACAACGACGCTGTGAAGGACCGATTCACCACCTCCAGAGACAATGCCAAGAACACCCTTTACCTGGAAATGGGCAGTTTGAAGTCAGAGGACACAGCCACATATTACTGTGCAAGAGACACAGTGAGTAAAAGCTACTGTGAACTCAGCCACAAACCTCCATGCAAAGTGCTCAGGACCAGCAGGTGGCGCAGACAGCACACAGAGCTCTGGGCCACAGAGGATCCTGATCAGAGAGGCATAAAGGGATGGACTCCTCTGGGTCTGGGCTGCATCTCCATATCACATTCTAAGATTCTCTCTACAGTAATCCTTGAAGTGTTCACAGTTTTAATCAAATATCTATTTTCCATTGTGACATGCTTTTCTGTTTGTTTATTATACTCATCTTGCCGTCTGCTTCTTTTACTCTCTCTTTTACTCTCCCTCTCTTTCTCCTTCTGGCAGAAAAACGGTGCTCAGAATACACTCTGTGGATAAAGAAACTACTTTCAGTGAAATTAAAACACTATATTTTAAAAATCTGTGTTTGACAGTCAGGCACAGTGCCACATACCTTTAATCTGGGCACTAGGAAGACAGAGGCAAAAGTATGTCTTGAAGTTCAAGACCAGCCTGGTCGACAGTGATTCCAAGACAGACGGAGTGGACATGTTGAAAGTTCCATCCCTGGAACTATAAATGGAGATGTTTCTGAGTCTGGCTTTGGTGCTATGTGTCAGTTTGTGAGAGTACATGGATGAGGGGTGTGGTTGTATGTGTGTGATGGGATTTTGGACTGCAACTGTGTTTGTAACTATTCTTTGTAAGTGAGTGTATTGGGATGTTACTTATCTGGGAGTGTGACTATGTGTGTGCCTGTGATTATGTGAATGCGAGTGCATGTGTGTTAGGATTGTGACTATATCTATAAATTTGAATTTTGGTATCTGTGTTTGTGTGTATTCAGTATTAGAACTTATCTGTAAGTGTTACTCTGTTTTGTGTGTGTGTGTGTGTGTGTAAGTGTGTTTTGGAATGAGGAACTGTATGTGCAAATGTGATTCTGTGTGACTGTGGTTGCAGTTGTGCTGTCTATTATCTCTCCCACATCCACTCTCTCATCAGAAGTATTTTATGCCCACGCTCCTCATATGTGAACTTCTGAGTCCTTCACACCATGTCCCAGGAACACCAAGTCCACCCAAATCAAGGTCTCACAGTCAGAAATCTGAAGTTTCAAAAAGCTTCCCAAGACAGTGCTCATCTCTTCTCTGAATCAAGATAACTGCACCATGGTCTATAAATATAAAATCCATCTATGCTGTGTTTTTATTGATTGTCTTCCAGAACTTTAGTACAATTTAGATTCCTCGGGTGCAGAAGGAAACCACGATTAAGTGAAAGGGATTTATTGATATGTTATTCCAGGTCAAAATAATAAGAAAATAATGAATAAAGGAAGGAAGTTTAAAAACAAACAGAGACCCCTGCAAATTCAAGAGGAGCCTCAGGCTTGCAGTGGCCTCAGTAGTAGGAACAAATTAATTGTCATCACCCCAAAATAGTATTTTAGATACATTGACTACAGTACATATCTGCTCCCACGGCCTTCTCACAATCATTCCCGTAAGAGAGTATAACTCATGGCAGTAAGCCAAGAATGTGTGGAGACCTTAAGTAACATGGCAGGGGAGCTGAGTATCCAGGTGGTATTCTCACCTTAAGTTCCTTACGCAGGGATGATGGGGCAAGAAGCAGGTGTGGACCACATATAACAACAATGTGATATAGTAACAAGCTCAGCAAGACAAGAACAAATCACAGTTATGATAACAAGGAAAAAAGCAGGAAATTTGTTTGAGTCACCTATGAGAAATCAAGTTTGAAAACATGAGAGGATATCTGACACTGGCCTTGGGTCTCAAAAATAAGTATCACAACCTACAACAGTAAAGATCCTGGCAATGTATGCAGATTGGTTCAATAGTGCCGTGAATGTTACAGGAATGACTAAATAATTCTTATAGGATTTAAGGCCCACTCCCAAAAACTTGAAATTATATCTGGTTCCAAGAACCAGACCAGGAACCCATGACATGGTACATCATAAGTCCTAGGAGATAATTTAGCACTATTATTCTGTTAAGCGAACATTGTATTAAACAATCCCTTAAGAATTTAAAATTTATACTATATATCATTGCATTTCTTCAGCTAAATCAAAACTCTGATCTATGGGGGTGTTGAAGAATACAGAGACCTAAAACTAGCCCACATTTACAGAATAGGAGGCCCTGAAGTCCTCAGTCTATATGGAACATTTCCACCATTCCTTCACTTTCCAAGATTTGGGATCAATAATAGAAGAGAAGTAAAAAGAGATTTAGGAGGCAGAACTGAGGGATGATGTCAGTGAAACAGTGTTTTCCAGGCATGACAAGGCTGCCACACTCGTGAACTCACAGCAGCTGTGACTACATGCACAAGTCCACACTAGCCAACATTCCAGCATGAGGTGTCTAAATCATGAACTCACAGCATCTGTAATTGCATGCACAGGATCATATGAGCCAACAACCAAGCATGGAATGTCTCAATCATGAAGTCACAGCAGCTGCAAGTACATGCACAAGATCATGCAAGACTGCGGGGCCACTGGCTTGTCACCGGGATTTATCTCTAGTGCATCTACTTTTTTTTTTGTTTTTTTTGTTTTTTTTTTTGGATCCTATCCACTTTGGATGTACACCTTGCTCAGCCTAGATATGGTAATGAGGGACTTGGACCTTCCACAAGGCAATGTGCCTTACCCTCTCTGAGAATTAAATGGGAGTAAGGTAGGAGGGTGTGTGGAGGTAATGGGAGCAGGGAAGGGTGTGGGAACTTGGATTGGTCGTGTTTTTTTTAAATATCTAATAAATTTAAACAAACTAAATAAGTGAAGGACTCCACCAGTTCTTAGTTGGATGGGAAGATGGTCCCAGATGAAGTTGCCTACCAAGTTATTTAATATTTACCAATGTTCCTAAATCATTTGCTTTATGAATTTACTGTTTTGAGCCTCAGTTATATAGTTCATTTTTTTCATTTATTCTTTAGCATCCCTATGTATGATATTATTTCATTCAGTGCTCCTCAAATCTGGCAAGCATGAGGGCCATATCAACCTTGTACTATTTAAGCACAGTAAGTGCTGCCTATATGTGCATGTGTGTGAACCCATGGACTGCAATATTGGAAGCATACCAGTGACCATACCCCTTAAAAAGAGGGACTATATCCCTTGTCATGAAAATACTTTGCCATCTGCTCCTCTTTATGAAGTAGGGCCAAGGAATTATCAGCTCATTCTATAACAGGGTTTTGGCTGGTTTGGCCCTAGCTAGGATTTTGCAGATAACAGATGCCATTATGAGTCCGTGATTGTAATATCCATGATATGTCCAGAAGACAGCATTTCACAGCACCCCTCCCTGTGCTCCACTCCTTACATTCCTCCTCATCTTCTTCATCAGTGTTCTCTGAGCCTTGGAGAAAGTTGAATGACACTGGAAATCTTATATCACACAACATATTGAACATTGGGAAGGACATTTTTTGCCTTATTCAAAATCCATATTGTGTGTTTGAGACTCTGTGTATGTGGTTTTCTGACTTCTGTTTTGTAGGCTCGGCACTAGAATGGAAGTCAAGACAGGAAAAGCCATTTTAAGTGAGGCACAAGAGGGAAGGAAATGACACAGGGTAAGACAGAGGTATTAATTGAAATCTTGGGTGTAATGACAGAAAGGGGATGAGTGAGTAGAAAGCATGAGAATTCAGGAAAATCAAAACAGAGTCTTCTGACAATACCAAACTGATGCCAAAGTTCTGTGTTTTGTTATAAAAATTTATTAGGTGTCCCCATTACACTGATATAAATATGCAGAAACAAAAACTGAGATAAGACAACATGAAGACAGCCATGTGTTGCCCGGGATCAAGTTGGAAAAAAGAAAGGCACAGTGGGAAGTAGAAAGTGACCATAGAAAAAATTTCAGGATGCAAAAGATTACATGCTGCAAATATAAATATATCTCCATAGCAATCACCGATAGGAAGAAAGACAACCACAAGGAAGGTCTCATTTTGAAACTTCCTGGGGTCATCGGACAACATTTTCAAAACTGAGGAAAAATGAAAAAAGTCTCAAGTGTTCCTGTCACAGAGAAATAGTTTCACTTAGAGACAGGTGTCACCCTATCCAAATTCCACCTCAGGAAGAAGTCATGTCCAGCAGAGACAAAGGGATAGACAGAGATAATATCTAGAAACACAGAAATGTGGAGCTTTTCAATTTCACATTGACCCTAAAGAGACATGACAGCGTGGAAACACAACATTTTCTATGCATATGGTGAAAAGGGAACTAAGTACAGTGTGGTGAATCCCTAAGAAGGAAAATGTGTACACGGAATTATGTTAATGCTTCAATTTCTATAACTGTTATCAGTGTGTATGATGACTTATATCTCCTCAGAGTACTGTGTTCTGCCTAGGTCCAAGTACAGAGCCTGCTGTAGCAGGAAGATATGCAAATAAGTCTTCTTTGCGCCCTTAAAAACTAGGCAGGCCCTGACCCTGCAGCTCTGGCTGAGGAGACCAACTCTGGATTCCCAAGTGCCAGTCAGGGTTCAGAGCTGAACACAGGCCACTCACCATGGACTTAGGGCTTATACTGGTTTTCTCTGTCCTTATTTTAAAGGTAATTCATAAAGATGAGATACTGTGTGTTTTGTGGACACGAGAAAGAGAAAAAATGTCTTCTGTGTCAGTTTTCTAACCAGAATTCTTTGTGTTTACAGGTGTCCAGTGTGAAGTGCAGTTGCTGGAGTCTGGGGGAGGCTTAGTGCAACCCGAAAAGTCCCTGACACTCTCATGTGCAGCTTCTGGATTCACCTTTGGTGACTATGCAATGAGCTGGGTCCGGCAGGCTCCTGGGAAGGAGCTGGAGTGGGTCGCATTGATTGGTTATGGTGGTGGTACCATCCGGTATACTGATGCTGTGAAGGGCCGGTTCACAATCTCCAGAGACAATGCCAAGAACACTCTGTACCTGGAAATGAGCAGTCTTAGGTCAGAGGACACAGCCATGTATTATTGTGCAAGAGACACAGTGAGTGAATGCTGCTGTTAGCTCAGGCAAAAACACCCCTGTGGTTAACACAGGACCAGCAGGCGGCGCTGAGAGCACTTGGAAATCTGGGTCACAGAAGAGCCTGCTCAGAGAAGCAATGGAAGACTGGACTTCTCAGTGTCTGCACAGCCCCTTCATATCCCATTTATGGATTTTCTCTACAGGTATAGTGTGTAGTAATCCTTGAGTCCAAATGTTTATTAAATTTTTGTTTCCTGTTGTAATGTGTATGTTTATTTCTTATAGTGTTTCTCCCTGTTAACCCTTTATCTCTCTGTCTATTTCTGTTTCAGTCTCTTTCACTCTTCCTCTTTCTCTCTCA